GATAATGGCTAACACCTTATAAGTATGATCAATTTTGTAAAATACTTTATTATATTTTCTGTTAACAAAATAATAATTGATATCGTGAGAAAAATATAAAATATTGTTTTAAAAACATAAAAAGTATTGTAAAATAAATGATAATAAACAAACAATAATCATATATGGTAAATAAAATTCAGAAAACCAAAATTATGTAACTCTAAATGTGAGATAAAATCTATCACATCCACAACAATAACACATTTTATAGAAGATAACTATCAACAGTCATTTGAAAATCTAAAACTGTTTCCATTTGATCAGTGAAAATGGATAATGACCCGGAACAACTTTGAAATAATAAAACAAATTATAAAGGCCTTGTTTAGAACACATAATTCAAGTCAATGATCTGTTACTGTCTTGTCTCTTGTCTCGCATTATAATGATACACTACATATGATGCATGTGAAGGCGCAGATAGAATTTCATGACACCAAAATAGGGTTTTATCGTTTTTCTAGTGACAAATATGATTCACCCCTTAAACTGAATTGTTCGTTTCTGTCAGAGACCTAGCCTAAATAAGTAAAATTTAAAAGAGAATGAATATTGTCAGGGTAGGAAATTGTGAGGAATAAACTGAAATTCCGATCTAAACCGATCCGGTAAACGTCTTAGGACCCGGATGTTTAAAAGTATTCATTTTCTACATGAAAATCTTACTTGTATATTATGGAATTTGAATTTACCGCCTAACAACCACAAATGCACGACTATATGAAATTTCAGAGAAAAAACCAAGAGTTCACAATGCTTGGTTCAGCTGAACACAGGCATCGTAAACGACATGTGATGGGACATACATGCATCATAAACGACATGTGATGGCAGATACAGGTATCATAAACGACATGTGATGGCAGATACAGGCACCATAAACGACATGTGATAGCAGATACGGGTATCATAAACGACATGTGATGGCAGATACAGGCGCCATAAACGACATGTGATAGCAGATACGGGTATCATAAACGACATGTGATGGCAGATACAAGCACCATAAACGACATGTGATAGCAGATACGGGTATCATAAACGACATGTGATGGCAGATACAGGCGCCATAAACGACATGTGATAGCAGATACGGGTATCATAAACGACATGTGATGGCAGATACAGGCACCATAAACGACATGTGATATTATACAAAAAACTGTAAATGACAATATGGCACCAGTATATATCTGAGGTAGAAAAGTCGTTTCATTTATGATTGTCATAAATTTTCTATCTTAATTAAAGTTGTAAGGCACCTAATTTGTTTCTGGTTATATCACCATGTCTGTGACATTACATAAGCAGTCAAGTTGTACAGTGTATCGTTTACATGTAAATCTTAAAGTTGCAAACTTCAGTTTAGTATAAATTAAAATATCTTTGATTTATCATTTATTTTAAAGCAATTTACCTAATCATACAGTAGATTGGCTATATTGCCAAAACAGTGTCATTTCAACATGATAACAATTTTGGTAACGCGGAAATATAAGCGCAAAACTTATTGTTAATGAAATTTCTGTCAAAACCAAAGATTGTTTTTTCAATTCTGTTGAATTCTGAAACTATTGCACGGCTCACCAGAAGAATTCATGGCAGAACGGTAACACTATAATCGTACACCTATACCACACTGACTAACGTTTTACCAACCATACAACATAAGTAAGTATGTAGAATTAAAATATACCGCATCAAATTCCAGCATCGAATAGTCATAACATCTACTTACACATGAAATAAAAATTTATAAGAAAAAGGACGGGTTTAGACATGTCTTCCAGTTTATATATAAGCCTTACCAAACCAATAAGACATATCTACCTGTTTATGTATAAGCCTTTCAAAACAAATTAGACATGTCTACCTGTAAACATAAAAGCCTTTCAAAACAAATTAGACATGTCTACCTGTGTACATATAAGCCTTTTAAAAACAATTATAAGTTCATGTCAAACATTCTGTTTTATGTATTTCATCTAATACTTTCCTAAAAAATAATAATAAAATTACGTCTTGAAGCCTGAAATTGTAATAAAATTTAGCAAAAGCCTTTCAAAAACTATTAGACATGTCACACACCTACCTGTTTATGCAAAAGCCTTTCAAAAACTATTAGACATGTCTACCTGTTTATGCAAAAGCCTTTCAAAAACTATTAGACATGTCTACCTGTTTATGCAAAAGCCTTTCAAAAACTATTAGACATGTCTACCTGTTTATGCAAAAGCCTTTCAAAAACTATTAGACATGTCTACCTGTTTATGCAAAAGCCTTTCAAAAACTATTAGACATGTCTACCTGTTTATGCAAAAGCCTTTCAAAAACTATTAGACATGTCTACCTGTTTATGCAAAAGCCTTTCAAAAACTATTAGACATGTCTACCTGTTTATGCAAAAGCCTTTCAAAAACTATTAGACATGTCTACCTGTTTATGCAAAAGCCTTTCAAAAACTATTAGACATGTCTACCTGTTTATGCAAAAGCCTTTCAAAAACTATTAGACATGTCTACCTGTTTATGCAAAAGCCTTTCAAAAACTATTAGACATGTCTACCTGTTTATGCAAAAGCCTTTCAAAAACTATTAGACATGTCTACCTGTTTATGCAAAAGCCTTTCAAAAACTATTAGACATGTCTACCTGTTTATGTATCAGCCTTTCAAAAACAATTAGACATGTCTACCTGTGTACATATAGGCCTTTCAAAACAAATTAGACATGTCTACCTGTATACATAAAAGCCTTTCAAAAACAATTAGACATGTCTACCTGTTTATGTATCAGCCTTTCAAAAACAATTAGACATGTCTACCTGTGTACATATAGGCCTTTCAAAACAAATTAGACATGTCTACCTGTGTACATATAGGCCTTTCAAAAATAATAAGACATGTCTACCTGTGTACATATAAGCCTTTCAAAACAAATTAGACATGTCTACCTGTGTACATATAAGCCTTTTAAAAACAATTATAAGTTCTGATGCAAACATTCATTGGCTTAAATTATTACGAAAGTCAGACAAAAAATTCATCTAATACTAGAAACTTACCTAAAAATAATAATAAAATTACGTTTTGAAGCCAGAAATTGTAATAAAATTTAGAAATCGGGAAATGCAAATAATTCAACACCGAAATACTGCACCATCATTCTATACCTGTAATGAGTGCACACACCTGACCGACATGTGGGTCTTATTAACCGCCTTAGTGTACAAACCAGACAGACATGTGGGTCTTATTAATCGCCTTAGTGTACAAACCAGACAGACAAGTGGGTCTTATTAATCGACTTAGTGTACAAACCAGACAGACATGTGGGTCCAATTAACCGCTTTAGTGTACAAACCAGACAGACATGTGGGTCTTATTAACCGCTCATGTGTACAAACCAGACAGACATGTGGGTCTTATTAACCGCCCTAGTGTACAAACCAGACAAACATGTGGGTCTTATTAACCGCTTTAGTGTACAAGCGAGACAGACATGTGGGTCTTATTAACCGCTTTAGTGTAAAAACCAGATAGACATGTGGGTCCAATTAACCGCTTTAGTGTACAAACCAGACAGACATGTGGGTCTTATTAACCGCCTTAGTGTACAAACCAGACAGACATGTGGGTCTTATTAACCGCTTTAGTGTACAAACCAGACAGACATGTGGGTCTTATTAACCGCCTTAGTGTACAAACTAGACAGACATGTGGGTCTTATTAACCCTTAGCCCAGACAGACATGTAGCCTTAGTACAAACCAGACAGACATGTGGGTCTTATTAACCGCCTTAGTGTACAAACCAGACAGACATGTGGGTCTTATTAACCGCCTTAGTGTACAAACCAGACAAAACTGTTGGTCTTATTAACCGCCTTAGTGTACAAACCAGACAGACATGTGGGTCTTATTAACCGCCTTAGTGTACAAACCAGACAGACATGTGGGTCTTATTAACCGCCTTAGTGTACAAACCAGACAGACATGTGGGTCTTATTAACCGCCTTAGTGTACAAACCAGACAGACATGTGGGTCTTATTAACCGCCTTAGTGTACAAACCAGACAGACATGTGGGTCTTATTAACCGCTTTAGTGTACAAACCAGACAGACATGTGGGTCTTATTAACCGCCTTAGTGTACAAACCAGACAGACATGTGGGTCTTATTAACCGCTTTAGTGTACAAACCAGACAGACATGTGGGTCTTATTAACCGCCTTAGTGTACAAACCAGACAGACATGTGGGTCTTATCAATCGCCTTAGTGTACAAACCAGACAGACATGTGGGTCTTATTAACCGCTTTAGTGTACAAACCAGACAGACATGTGGGTCTTATTAACCGCCTTAGTGTACAAACCAGACAGACATGTGGGTCTTATTAACCGCTTTACTGTACAAACCAGACAGACATGTGGGTCTTATTAACCGCCTTAGTGTACAAACCAGACAGACATGTGGGTCTTATTAGCCGCCTTAGTGTACAAACCAGACAGACAGTGTGGTATTTGAAAAAAGGTACATATGCCACTTTTGTATGTGATTAAACCTTACACACATCCATCAACAAAATAAAAAAACAGAAAAGTGAAACTTATAAAATGTAAAAACAACTGAAAATTTTTAAAAAATTGAAAAGTTATCAACTTCCGCAATAACGGATTTCCGAACCATTGGATTTCGAAATGACTACACTATTAATCGCATGTGTTATTTCAAAATAATGATAAAGCTATAGATTTAAAAAAAAAAGAATCTGGTTAAAAATCTCCGTATAATGTATTATCATAATCAAACAATATTAACAAAACCATCTTATCGATAGATGTGTCTGAAATAGCAATTCTTGAGTAACGGGAGTTTAGGTTAAACAAATGCAAACGAAAAACATCTGTCTACAACAGTACCATGACATCATACACCTACGGTACCAAATTGAACACAGTAATTAGTTTGAACACCAAATGGCTATCATGAAAAACATATTGAGCATAATAACTATAGGAGTTATGGCAAGCCAGGTAACTGGTTTGTGGGGACGTCTGATTGTTCTCCCAGTGAGATATTCACTTTTACGTTTAGCAATAGGACAGATATGTTTGACCAATTCTGCAGCGCTGTGTGAACACTCCCTAGCCAAAGCATTCCGTTTGGTCGTGTCGAAGTTTGGATCATAAGATGGTTGTATGTTCAGCTTTTTCGCCACTATACCCAGATAAGCGTCATCTATTTCTAAAAATTGCACATACGGAAAAGCGGCAGCAAATCTGCGTGCTACATCATGGGACACGATGTATGCCCCGCCCCCTACATAAGGCGGGAAATGGTCATACGGGTACTGGCTAAATGTCAAGGACCACACAGTTTCGTGACGTCGATATGGCACAGCTTTGCTGGCTAATGTCCCGGCAAATAAATTTCTATTTTTATGCTGAAACACTTTTCGTATATGTAAAAACACATTATCATATTGTACATAGTAGTCATCGTCCACGAAAAACAAAATGGAGGCGTTTCTACAGTAGCGGTCCACCCAGTTGTAGGCCATCACGGTTTTCAACGTATTATTGAGGTAGGTATCTGTGAAGTCTTCTTGTATAATGTCTCTAAACTTCTTGCTCTCAACGTCGACAAATTCCTGATAGGTAGCGTTATAACCGAGAATAAACATTTGCTTAACATGAGAAAACGATTTAGTTTTGTTCTGGAATAAAATTCTTTGTGTTTTTCTTAAATCAAAATTACCCGCAAAAGATTTTATTATCATTATGATATTTTTGTTTTTATTCTCGTCACTTGGAAATACACATGACTTTGGGGAATGTAGATACTTGAAGTTATGTAAATGAATCTTCTGGTGTATTTCCGGAATTTTAGTATTTTTAACAATAAAATCGTCTACAGCTTGTTTCAAATCAAAATGTGCTGGATATGAGAAGTTTTTGGGGTCATACTCTAAAAAAGTCTCGTAGATTTCCTCAGTAGCATTCCTGACAGACGAAGATAAATTAAGTGATGACACTGAAGATGGAGTACTATTTGACGTCATCAATGACGACAAAGGAACAGTAGTCGTTAACTTGAAAGATCCTGGAGTAGCTGCAATTGGTTGCTCAACCGTGTATATAAATCCTATAAGGAACCCGGATGTTCCTACCAGCAGCGCGCTGATAAGTGCCCGGATGAGTTTTGCCTGCATCCTTACTGCGTTGTCATCACAATCCTGAATACAGTATTAAAACTTCCAGTAAGATTCTGGAGAGATTCTATCATACTCCTGATTTTTTGGTTACATTTACACTCACTTTCGATATCCATATATAAATCATTGATAAGTATCACGTCCAAAGGCAGCCAACTGGGAGGTACAGATGAACATTTGACGTCATGACCACAAATCTGAGACAACATGTTTGGTTTCTCATGTACACCTGAAACAAAATTTAAAGCATTACCTTATAGTTGGAGCCATTGCATGAATTAGCAGTGTACGAGCGCGTTTGTTACGACGCATTCGAAAAGTGATAATGTTGAATTCGAAATGGCGTTACGTACAATTTCTATTTCTTGGTTAATAAAGTTTTTTTTGCGTTCAGTGGTAGGGGTAATGTCTAAACTGCTTGTTGAATTTATATTTCGAACGATTTAATCCGATATCTTCAACATACATGACAACTAATAATTTCTGAATTTTATCTACCCATAATTCAATCAATTCATTCAAAACACAGATATAGATATACCGAGTCCGTGGTTTAAACGTTAGGAATGTGTACTCGCTTGGAGACGTAACCTATCATCTGTTTCGTTACGTTTGTCTATGAAGCAATGTTATCTTTTTTAATTATTAAATTTATTGAATTACAATTTAAATATAAGTTAACATCGGAGATGAAATATTTGCCGTCGGCTCGATATATTTCATCTGGTACATCAGGGATGAGACGCGTTATTTAGAAGGAATCGAGTGAGTATTGACCTCCAAGTTTCTGGTAACTTTGACAATACGATATCTACCTCAAACTTTATTTTGACTCTGACTCTATATCGATGTGTCTTTGTCTACAAAATAGAAGTTCTTATAACACAACCACCAGAAGTTTAGAGTGGGGCGTTTCAGTGACTACACGGTCACCTTTATCTTATAACACAACCACCAGAAGGTGACTACTACACAGTCACCTTTATCTTATAACACAACCACCAGAAGGTTAGAGTGGGGCGTTTCAGTGACTACACGGTCACCTTTATCTTATAACACAACCACCAGAAGGTTAGAGTGTGGCGTTTCAGTGACTACACAGTCACCTTTATCTTATAACATAAAACACAACCACCAGAAGGTTAGAGTGGGGCGTTTCAGTGACTACACGGTCACCTTTATCTTACAACACAACTAACAGAAGGTTAGAGTGTTGCGTTTCAGTGACTACACAGTCACCTTTATCTTATAACACAACCACCAGAAGGTTAGAGTGGGGCGTTTCAGTGACTACACGGTCACCTTTATCTTATAACACAACCACCAGAAGGTTAGAGTGTGGCGTTTCAGTGACTACACAGTCACCTTTATCTTATAACACAACCACCAGAAGGTTAGAGTGTGGCGTTTCAGTGACTACATAGTCACCTTTATCTTATAACACAACCACCAGAAGGTTAGAGTGTGGCGTTTCAGTGACTACACAGTCACCTTTATCTTATAACACAACCACCAGAAGGTTAGAGTGGGGCGTTTCAGTGACTACACAGTCACCTTTATCTTATAACACAACCACCAGAAGGTTAGAGTGTGGCGTTTCAGTGACTACACAGTCACCTTTATCTTATAACACAACCACCAGAAGGTTAGAGTGTGGCGTTTCAGTGACTACACAGTCACCTTTATCTTATAACACAACCACCAGAAGGTTAGAGTGTGGCGTTTCAGTGACTACATAGTCACCTTTATCTTATAACATAAAACACAACCACCAGAAGTTTACAATGCGGCATTTCGATGACTATACGGTCACCTTCATCAGATAAATGACCAGTGTGGAGCTTACTAGCACGGTCGTACATGTACATAGTGTAACGAGATGATAAAGAATAACCCTAAAACCAACAAAGCGTAGCCGAAATGACAACAGTACATTGTTACCGTCTTGTGTATTTTTGGTCTATAATCTATTTTCGACCTTAGGACATAAAAATTGGCCGCTTCCTTACCATCTCGCACACTACGTACGTCAGTACTAGAACACCTCACACTGGTCATTTGTCTGATGAAGGATATTGCCCTTAATACGGAAACTAAAATGTCATTACTCCATACATACGTGGCATGTATATTGAATTATGGTTGTGAAAATTTGGGACATAACGTACCGCCCCAGATTAAGGAGGTCCACCTTCGTTTTCTCAAAGTCCTATTAAATGTTAAGAAAAATGTCAATACTTCTTTTCTTTTCTTTGAAACAGAGGGATTTTCATTACATGTGTAACATAAAATAGCCATAATGAATTACTGGTTAAAAATTTTAAATACCAGCAATTGTGTGTTTTAAAGGCATGCTATGACGCATTAGTAGAAATGAATATTAGGAAACCTAATTGTAACATTAATTGGATTTATCAAATTAAGCATGAACTATGTAGTTTGGGTTTTAACTATGTTTGGAATAGCTAATATATACAAAATGAAAATCATTTTTTTGCAAACGTATGCTCAGCGAGTCCATGATGTATTTATTGAAGAATTACGCAGTGCCTTTGATGCATCTTCCAAATGTTAACTGTACAAGCACCTTGTTGATACCTTTTGTTTCCAGTTCTGTCTGACAAAGCCCATTATCTTTAAGATAAACAAAATATTGAGTCAATTTCGCATGCAAGGACACAATCTTAACATAATATCTGGGCGCTGTAATAACATCCCAAGAAGGCAGAGAGTATGTACACTGTATAATAAAAACGACGTCGAAGATGAAGTGCATTTGTACTACTTTGTCCAGCATATTCTGAATTAAGAAAAACTTACATTTAAAAGTACTATTATAGACGTCCAAGTGTTTATAAGCTAGTAGAATTATTTACTTATAAAAGTGTTAAATCTTTAAACAGAATGGGTAAATATTTGTTACTGCTGAAAGAAAAAAATCTCCTGATATTTGTCAATAACTCGTTAAATAGCATCTTATTGCTATGTCATGGTGCTTTCTATGCATTGTTTCTATGTTGTCGTCATTATTTCATGACGTCACATATATATACCTGTAGTTGCGTCATACTTACAGTATTTCACCACGTAACAATATACTTGTACCTATCAGCTGTAATGAATTTGAATATAATGAAACTTGAAACTTGACACGCTGTAGTCATCGAAACGTTACATTATAATCTTTTACCGGCTGTATCATAAAAAACTTCTCTTCTGTTGTCATTACCCACATAAAGAAAATATTCCAAAAAAGGTATTTTCATCTAATTAAAAACGCATTCGGATTAAAAGCATCTGTAAAGCTTCGAGTGTTACCGCCCAGATCATGTCCGTAGACGCGATGTAACAGCTGGTTGTAATCTGATTGCTGAAAAACGAAGTATTTAAAATATTCTGGTTGAAAATATGTTATTTGTAAAAAAAAAAAATTCGATAAGATGTATAATATGCTCACACGGATAAACAGAGATAAACTGCCACTACTACTACTCTTTCTACTCAGAGTTATCGTTCCTTGCACTTAATAAGGGACAACAACTCTGGGTGTGATGACACTGCCTAATAAACAGACAAAATGAAATAATTATGATACGAGCGTCATAATGAGAGAGAGAGAGAGAGAGAGAGAGATATTGTATTTACAAGGTGGCAGTAAGATATAATAACAATGAAACAATGAGAGAGAGAGAGAGAGAGAGAGAGAGAGAGAGAGAGAGAGAGAGAGAGAGAGAGAGAGAGAGAGAGAGAGAGAGAGAGAGAGAGAGAGAATGGGGGGGGGGAGGAGGGGGAGGGGGAGGGGGTTAGTGTATCGTATCACACGTACGTTGTATGTTGAGAATACCTTGTGTATATATATATATATATATATATCAGGCATCTTCTCGTTCAGTCCATGTAAGGGAAACAAATGAGCAGACACGACTTTAGAATTGCGCGAAATCGAAGAATGACGGCTTTGTCTGACAATACATGAATGTAATGAAGTTCCTGCATCTCTTCCTTAACCAATCCGGTTCGCGACCATCTTCTGTAGTTAGGGTATATAAATCCGTGACTGTACATGATTATACGGCGATAGGTGAGATTTAGTTAAATATACAACTGTGTAATATAGTTATGGCATTACGTAATATTAGCCAACCATTTTTAACAAACCACACAATACATGCGACTTTATTGCTCAGTCGTTTGCACGATACTGTATAGTTTGGGAGTACTCACAATGTCTGAACGATGAACATGTTCGTCGCCCATGCTGCATTTCAGAAAATTATTAATATATCGTTTTGTAGATAACAATTCCAAAAAGTATGCCTCTGATAATGAAATTTAACATTTCTTCGTTACAAATATATTTATATATTTTAAACTTTTAGATGAAAATTAATTGTCATTTTTCAGTTGAAATTTACACATGAATCCCCCAGTCTTATCAAATATTTTTACAGAACGATTATTTTTACAACTTCAATGTGAAATATAAAGCAATCTTATGTATAAATCTCCAAATGCATGTCTCTGACTATCAAGTTTAGTAACTTTCCAACACATTATATAACTCTAACAAACTTTGATTAAAAATGAGTTGTGTTATTTTAAGTGAAAATGGCACATGATTTCAGTTCACGGAGATTTTCTTAGTCCCATCGTTGTACAGGTAAACACGCCTGTGCGTTACCACAACTACAACATGTGCAGCATACTCTAGACTGGATTGCCTGTCTTACATATCATATTAACCAGTTGATGACCCTAGTGACATTTTATGTGTTGACGGGCCGTTAACAATAATGATAATTTTTATTCTATTCTACGATTGGCTTAGCTTCGAATAACATAATAAATGAAAACTAGGTCAATGTGTTAATTACGCGATATATTATCATTTGGAACCTCACGGGCGAATCCCCAAGTACTTCAAGTAGTGAATAAATCCGTCTGCAATTATATGGCCTGGCGTATACTCTATACTGAGCCGAGGTGTTCCGAACGAT